AATGGGAGCACTGCTAGACAACTGTAACATCCTCTAATTGAATATACCAGAGGAACTCAGACCAGCAGTTAAAATATAGATCTAAATACGAAATGTAGGTTCTAGAGTGGGCTCCAGTGGGGTGTTTCCTTCCTGCTGGAAACCAGCTGAGATGTTTCCAGTGCATAAGAAGGGATGCAAAATAAAACATCGACAACTATCGCGGCATCACATCGTTGTGTGCCATATCTAAACTGTGCGAGTTGGTCGTTATGGAACCATTAATCTCTTACTTCATGGCAGGGCGGTCGACTACTTCCAACCTTCTGTTCACATCTACACTGACCTATCAGCCGCCTTCGACAAGTTGGACCATCCTATAGCGATCGCCAAACTGGATAGGCTCGGTATAAACGGCTATCTCCTACAATGGTTCGCATCCTATCTATCTGATCGTCAGTTGGAAGTTGCAATCGACGACTGCCGATCTCCTTCGTTCCCTGCCACTTCGGGTATTCCGCAAGGCAAGGCCACCTCGGCCCGTTGATATTTCTTGTGTATTTCAACGACGTCAATTTCGTCCTCGACGGTCCACGACTGTCGTTCGCAGACGACATGAAAATCTATCTCCGAATCCGAGACATCGGTGACTGCCACCTTCTGCAACTCCAACTTAACGCTTTTGCTAATTGGTGCCAACTGAACCGCATGGTTGTAAATCCAACAAAATGTTCAGTAATCACGTTCTCGCGGAAGAAACATCCAATTACATTCAGTTATATCATCCTAGAAGGCGTTGGCGTACATCGTGTGAATCACATTAAGGATCTGGGAGTCATCTTAGATTGTCAACTCACATACAGCCAGCATATATCGAACGTGATCGACAAGGCATCCAGAACGCTCGGCTTCATTTTCAAGATAGCTAAAAGTTTCACGGACATCTACTGTTTGAAGTCGCTTTACTGCTCCCTCGTCCGGTCGGTGTTAGAATACTGCTGCCCTGTATGGAATCTCAATTACCAAAGCCTAGAGTCTATTCAACGACGATTCATCTGGTTTGCCCTTCGACGATTGCCTTGGAGGGATCCTCATCGCCTTCCAAGCTACGAAAGTCGGTGCCAGTTAATTCACCTGGATCCTTTGTGGAGTCGAAGAGATACGACAAGGGCCCTGTTTGTGGCAGATTTTCTACAGGGCAGAATCGATTGTCCTTCTATTCTACAACAAATCGACGTTAACGTTCAACCACGAGCACTCCGTAACAACGCAATGCTGAGGATACCTTTTCGTCGTACAAACTATAGTTCGTATGGTGCTATCAATGGGCTACAAAGGGTTTTCAATCGTGTTGCTTCCTTATTTGATTTTCACTTGGCACGCGAGACACTGTCAGAGATTCCGTGATATATTTTTAAGAATTAGGAATTAAGTTGGACTTCGAATATTTCCTAGTATTGCTTAATCCATCATTAAGGCTAAACCGAAGACTACCAACCATGAAGACTGGCAACTCTGCCAAAAATCAGGAGACAGTAACGGCAACGCCTCTTCTGAGCAAAAGTGGAACCAGTGTATGATGGTGTGTGTTAATTCACAAGTGCATTCACACACATAGGTAGAAATAAATAGCTGTCAATTATTGGTTTTGTTATGATTGTTGTACAAAGTGAAACGTTTCTTTCTTTGCTTTATGCTGACAACGAGTAAAATTCCAGCTGAAATTGAACAGATGCGTAAGTAAATTTGTTTTGAAAATTAAAACTATGGCAATGATGCCATTCAAAATGATGGTGGGACCTTCCTCGATCATTAATTTGCTATCTCAGAATTATCTTCCACTTTTCCTAAGCCCTTTACCCTTTAGTGATGCATTTATGGGCATTCGTATGGTGCATTAGTAAAATGCATGCCCGTTCCGCACGGCTTTGGCACCTGGCCACAGCGGGGGGAGTTAAGTTGAGTTGTGACGCTCGGCAACTTGGCACGGTACTCGCTGACCATTTGAATGTCACTGGCCAATCTGACACTGTTGTTATCATTTTCTGGAAGGGGTCGATCGATTCCAAGAATTGTGAAAGTATACAGATTATCACTATCCGGTGGTTTTATGTTCTGACAACATCTAAAATGGAAATATATTCTTTATCAATGCGTACCGTTTGGGATTGTAGTTCTTCAACCTTTCATTTTCATTTTCTCCAAAATTAGATCCTGCTACGCCTTCCGTTGGATCGTGATGTAGGTACCGATTTTTTATTATTTTATTTTGAATCCTTGAATTTTCAGCAGCTTCCGAATGACGGTAGTTCACTCAATGGTGGTGGAAGCTGCCAATTCCTTATAATTGATTGCTTCCAACAGGCAAAATAAACAATATTTCGGTTCCTCGTACACAAGTAAAAGTTACTTTCACTAGGTATCGTTCCGAGTTTCAATCCACCATGACAAGTTTTTCGGTTTGGAGTTGGAAAACCACCGGCTTGCTGGGATTAGGATACAAATTGCCGTAAAATTGTGTAGAGCAAAACAAAAAGAACAACGAGTACCGTGTTATGATTATTCGTTTCGGTGACATTAGGTCACACACAGTCACTGTTTATGAACAGTCTCACTAACACTTGTGCTTCAAAGTTCCACCTTTGATTGCCAGGTGCTGTTATCACTGACGTTTGACATTTGTATGGGAGAAGGGAACAGTTGCCAGTCTTCTTGATTTGAAGTCTTTGACTAAACCCATTCTGTTGATGTAGAACCAAATAAACACACAATAAGCTAGTATGCGATAAGAAATAAGCTTAAAATGATGGGGGGGGGGGGCTAAATTGTTACTCAATTTCGCGTGACATAATTAATGCAAGGCCGGTTAAAAGAAAAATATACAATTTTGGAAGAAGATCCGGAACACATCGGAAGCTCATTAAAGTTGATATATCGCATCGCATGGCAGATTTTGGTTGGGTTTGGTGTCGCTTTTGGTGCTGCTCATAAACAACAAAGAAGACTACCAAAATACCTTAGCACGTGCTCAGTGTAGAACACGATTTCGTCAGCCAAAAGCTATCAAATTTCGCATAACAGCCAACTGCACTTCTGTCATGCCCTGCCCGCTCGGACCCTAAATGTTACTGAACTCGAACGCACAATATTTGGAATGCATTTTTGAAGTTGCTTGTGCAAACAATGTCGAATCCGTCACGCTTTACGCACAAACCAACCAAACAAACAAAAAACACATAACCGCCAATCCAAGCCAAAAAGCAGCGATTGTTGTTCGGGTGTAGGACAAACAACATACGTTAAACAAATCTACGAATACCTACAAACAATGCACGCATTCATTGCATCTATATAGAGTCGAACAATCGAGTGGTGGATCGTGCATTTTTAATTGCTCATTAATTTCCATAAATTGAGGACAACCCACGGAGCGAACGCAAGTATAGGAAATTAGAAAGAGTGTCGTGCCGTGGCATCCATCATCACAATCACAGTTGCATTCAACGGAGCACATGTACTTATGCAGCGCACGACCAAAATATTGCTTTGTAGGTCAATTTTGTTCTGTGGATGCGCTCTTTTTCGGCAATTGAACTCAATTAAGTGGGCAGCATTTTGGACCGGGCGGGGTATTATGTTCAACTGCAATTTCCGCCAAAGCGCAGCGACGACGGACGGGGCCATTCTCTTGTGCCCAGCGACCGGATTTGTCTGTTTTCGAAGTGAACAATGCGCCTTTCTGCTATTGAAACCATAAAAGCAAGCAGATGCATCTCATCATGAAATTAATGATTGAAACCGAAAATAGCCGAACTTCGTTTGATAAAGAGCAGACATGACTGCGTCTGAAAGATTCATCCACGTTTTCCGCTCTTTTCGCATTCTACAGGAAACGAAAACTGTGCCTGCAGCACCGTCTCCATCTGCATTGAGTAGCGCAGTCCAATCGATCCGGACGTGGCGAAGTCGAAAAAACACGGGAAAACTCATTACCAGTAAGCTTTTCTGGCTCTGTTGCGAAAAGCCTGACTTTTGTTTTGATTTCGTGTTTTTTTTTTTTTTTTTGTGGGAAGAAAAACTACTTTACTCAAAGTGAGAACTTTAATGGTTTTCACTTGTTCTCTGATTGTTCCTTCGCCCGTACCGACAGTTTCCAAGCGTGGTTTGCCTAATCAGATAATGGGATCAGCTCGCCTGAACTAGCACTATTTAATGGCCGTCTAGCATGCACCAGCGGATCATTGTTGCCGCTCTTGATACTCTTCAGAGAAAGTGGCAAATTTTAATTACCCCCCGAACCGAACTGTTATGTATTAAAGCCGAGATGGGACGCCTGTTGTACGCGTTGGTTCAAATCGGATCGTTAACACCCAAATCATAGATCCGGCTGACAAAATTCAATTTGCAATTATGTGTATTAAGGACGCTAAATTCAGATGACCGCAGGCAAAAATTAAGATATCTACCCAAATGAAACGAAAGTGATGAATTGACCTGGCCGGCAACCGTCCAGAAACACCTTTCTCACAATTTCACAATCGTCATCGTCGCATTAAGGACGCAAAAAAAAAGAAAACAAAAATACGAAAGCGAATTGAAAGTGTAAATTGCTTTCCACGACACCGCAAACCCACGGTCAATCACGACGGGGACACAGAATTCTAGGAAAGTTCGTAGTGTTGTACCGTCGTAAGACTTGTTTAATCTTTGATCTCTCATTTTTGCTTTATTTATTTCCCCTGTTAATTTCCTCGGTCACGTTAGGTGGAATTACTCACGGAGTTTTTTCCGCCTCGGTTGGGGATTTTAGCTTTTTCCCCTAGCGCAGCTACGAAGGAAACGAGACCAGGTAGGTACATAAGCGCAATATTTGCTGACCAACAATCGACGTTCGTCAGGAATGGGGAAAACTATTTGCTCGAGATAATGGATCCTGCAGCACCCGGTGAGAGATTCAATGTATCTTTTCCCTGGCTCTCACGACGACACTTTAAGGGACGAAAAATCATGCGAAAACCTACCTTTTCAGCGATGATGGAGCTCGGGCAGGATCTGTACGGAAGAGAGTGGAGGAAAATCGTTTTAGTGATATTAATCAGGAATTGAAAGCTGGTAAGAAAACTACTGTCCAAATATTGCTTACAATGAGCTGTTTAGTGAGAATATGATTCAACATAGATAAATTCACAATCTATTTACATTTTTTCGGAAATTTATCAAGAAAACTGTTTTTATTTATTCGCGAAATGCACTGGATCACGTAAGGACAAAGACAACCAGACAAAGGTGATCACAAGAGACGTTTCTCAGTGGAACTGACAGCTTGAAATCTAGAGTGTGTGAGTGATCTGGTGTTAATGATGCTGAAAGTAAACATAAACAAAGCAAAAATTCATATCTCGCGTCACTTTTCAAAAGACCCTAAGTAACAAATGTAAACATATCGAGTTAAGTGATACAAACTATTGCTCTTCTATTATTGTATTGCCGTGGATACACTTGTATGATCTACTATGAGCGTGAGAATTATTTGTATAATAATTATAAGCACTATACAGCAACTATACACAAACTATACAAGTATGACCATGGATGTGCTCATAATGTATTATACAAATAATGCTCATGCTCATAGTTTGTCATCCAAGAGTATCCGCGGCATATGTGATACAAAAACATCCATCCAAATTTACTTTTAATTATTTAAGATAATCATATGTCAAAAATTGTCCAATGTACAGTTTGAAATGATGGCTACATTGTACATGATTGGTGCCATTTGAAGCTGTTGTAGAAGTCCTCTGTTGCCAAGTGAAAAGAATGGAAATCTTTCGAAAACCGTGATGCGAGTTCAACTGTTTTCCTCTTGACGTGACTCATTATACACCGACTCTAAATCACCCATGCAGACAAACACCATCAACAGGTAGGGGAATCTTTTCCCTACTAGCAGTTGCCACAAATCGTCGATTGAAGTGATTGATTAAAAAATCAGACACGTTGATTTGAATCATGGTGGGTATATAAATGGTGATACAGCTTTGTCACTGTATAGGCGAGGAGGTCGCAGGGGGAAAAGTGCGGTTTTATAGCAAATTGTAAGCAAACTCGGTTGCTGTTCCATACAAAAATCCAACATGTCTGAATCATGAATTTGACACATTAGAACACCTATATGTACACGGTTAGAAAAAAGTACCCAAAATTAAGTTATTTTCACTCATCTCGGCACTATAGTGCAGGAACCCAAAAGTAGGTAAAGCGGGTCAAAGTAATTTTCATTTACTTGTGTGCAATTCGTATGGAATTTTCCACTAGCTTTCAATCCAAAAGTAAGTTAGTTGTACCCAACAGGAAGGTAAATATGGTTATACTCAACGTTGGGTTCCCACACTTTACTACCCCTGTTGGGTGGTTTTGTTCCTCAGTTTTTGACAACATTAGAAGGAGAAAAGGAGACAAACTAGTCAAAAGTAGGTAAAAGTGAACTGGCCGTTGGGTACTTTTTTCTTACCGTGTAGTTGCCTTGATTTGAATAGTTCCGCTTGAACTGTCAAATTGTGTTCAGCACCTTGTACACCATACAGTACCGGACACTATAGTCGCTATATTCATAGTCTGGCGGATATAATTTCGATCTTTCAAAAAGCGGAACCAATTAAATATATTGTAGACTAACAATTGAAAAGGTACTATTAACTTTTTTAAACAAAACGTTGATTATTCTTTCCTCGCCAATCGAAGATAAATTACCAGCATCGGATAGGAGAAACTATTAAAATATTGCTTTAATTTGTGTAGGCGAGCCTTCAGTCACGAGAAAACGGTTTCGAAATTTTGTTCGCAATAGCTGAAGTGCTCTTTTCTGTTGTTGGTCGTGATTTTCTCAATTGGTCCGCTATTTGACAGCTCAATTGGTTCCCAAGATTCTATCCACCAGACAATGAATATAGCGACTATACCGGGCACCGGTTTCATTTACAAGCTATTTCAAATCTTACCAAATTTGGATAGATCTGGGTGATCGGTCAAAACTGAACCTAGTTGACAGCTCCTCGTTCCAATCGGACCGTCAAAATGCACCGCTTTGCTCGATTGGAACAGCGTTTTTCAGTTTTGTGGTGACAGTCGTCCATACTTTAACCAACCGGTGAACACTCGTGTTTATTTCAGTTACCGTGGGGACGTAATTTGTGTTTATGGTTTAATCCAAACCATTTGTGGAATAGTTCTAACTGCTAACTGCTTAACTGCTAACTATATATAACCATTGGGTAGCTAATGGGGGTGCCAGGGGGCCAGGCCCCCTCCAGAATTATCTATGCCCCCCTCCAGAATTATCTAGGCCCCCTCCAGATAAATTGTCTAGCTACGACAATGTATATAACTGTTTTTAACTATATCCCAGTTAACGAATACCCAGTTAAAAAGCAGCCCACGGAGATCCACGCGTTCATGATTAGTAAATATTACCCGCAGCTTGTGCCACTTTTCTCGAATGAGTGAACTCAAATAGAGGACAGAAATCATGGCTACTTTGTCACACTGCAGAATACAGTGTTGTCCACAATACAGTTGCTTAATCTTGCCATAAGATTGTCAATCTCTTAAACAATTAATAACTATTTAATTTGACTGTTGACTGAAAAACGATTTTCTGCAAAGTTGTTGCTGATAAAAATTCCCATAAGAATAGCAATAGAATTTGTTAACAGTAAAATATGTAAAAAGACTAGAAGACAATGTACAAAAGGTTTTGCTTTCCCATAGTAATTTCCATATAAACTTCAAATGGTTTGTGCCTAGTCAGTTTCTTATCAAATGAGTTTAAACTTTCGGACGCTAATCAGGACCCGATTTGAAACCGTTTGAACACTGTGGAGCGAAAATTTCAAATTTTGCATCAGTCTAATGCAAAGTGTCATTGTTTCTAAAAAGAACAAAATGTAGAAATATTCTCATCGCAAGGTTTGAAGAGAAATCGACGATTTTTCGAAAAAGTCCATATCGCAAAACTGGTTTGTCCAAATCTCCAAATCTGTGCGATTTGATTTTTTTTCTTATAGTCATTTTAACGCTCTTGGGTCATTTGTGACTTGTCCGGGGTGAGATTTGAACTCGTGACTTTGGCGTGACAGGTATGGATGCTAACCACTACGTCGGGGTCGCCCCCTCCGATTTAATTGTGGAAACTATTATTCCTCAATTACTTACATTTTTAACAAAAAATTTTGTTAAGATTTTTTCAATACTAAATGATTCAGAAAAAAAATAATGTTGTTCTGTGCACGCCGTTGCTTTTGATTTAAAGTTATTCTAGCAAAGGCACCGTGTGACAGCTTACATTAATTCATTGGTACAAATTGAATGCTTCGTATTTCATCTAACACCACTCACTACCAGAGGGCGAGCAGCTTTCAAATGTAAGAGCTGGTGGGAAACTGACTGAATGTATCGCAAATTTAACTTTAAATTAACAATGTCACTAACTGTATTTTTTTTACATATATTGTGCATAACGCACATTATAAGTGCGATTATAAGTGATGAAATGCTTACATAAAAGTGCGTTTTTGTGTTAAATCATTACGGTGTCTTTGGCGCACTTGATTCAGGGGATGAAACTGTTGACGTTTTTTACTACACTCGCTTCGTTGACTTTTATTTACGAGAAATCGGCGGTTGACGTGTTTGTTTACAAAAACAATTACCCCCAAATCTCAAATCACTCCGGAAATGCTATTTCTAGGACATCGTTGCTTGCTATTTTCAGAATTCATACAAGCACCACATCAGCAGCTCTTATTATGAAAAAAAAACTAAAATACATACATTCGTGACGGTCTTCGGCGAAAATGTCGTATGACATTTTAGTTTGGTACTGTTATATGATATCTTGTTTTGCAAGTGTCGGAAGCAAAGGCAGTCGATTATCACAGAAAATGTGTCGACTGCACTCGATCCTTGCTTCATAAGGAATAAGTGCGCGGAAGACATCAAGACGAGCACTTTTATTAGTGATTCTCAGGTAGGGTTACCATATCAAAAATTTGAAAAGGAGGACATTTCATTTGAGGTTTAGAGACTAAGGAGGGCAATGATTCCTTTACTTGACATTGAATAAGGACAATGAGTTTTTATCTAACGTTTTAATAATATGTGCGCTATCACAAAATTCAAGATTTACAAAGGTTCAATTGAGATTGTTCATAACTTGTAGTCGTTACCAATTCAATGTATCTTCTCGTTATTATTCTGAAAAATGCATCAAGCTAGCCTTCATAATTCATTTTTGATACTTGGAAATGATCTAGTCTAGCTGATTTGCATGAATACTACAGCTTTACAGCCTTAAAACCATCCTAATTTATATCATGTAAAAAAATCAAGATACATGTCATCGCGGATAGAAACCAACATCTAAGCAACCTGTTAATTTTACCATTGATTCAGAGACCGCTGGCGATGCCATAGTGGGAGCGAAAAGACGTGATTTGCGTTCTATACAAAAGAATTCCTATTATTGATATTATTCCTTACATTGGATTTCACGCTTTGCGTGCCTCTTCGGTCTCAGTATGGCAGCGGCCTAAACAAAATACCTAAAATCCCATAGAACCAGAACGTCAAAATCAAACACATGTTAGATTCCAGTGTGTGCCAGTGTTCTATTTGGTGAATTTTAACTTACACTTGACCGATAGGATATTTTCAAATAAACCTGCTATTGTACCAGACTTATTTCTGGCAACCAGGAATAAATTTTGAAAAAATCACAACAACAACAAACAACAGAGAGATTTTCGAACATTATAATTTATTTTCGAATTGTCAAATTTTAGTAAAATAAATTATAATGTTCGAAAATCCCTGTGTTGTTGTCCGGTTTTTGAGAAATTGTTTATTAAAATTGATTCCTGGTTTGTCTGAAATAAGTCTGGTAGAATAGCAGGATTATTTGAAAATTTTCCAACTGTCAAATATAAGTTAAAATTCACCAAATGAACCGCAGCCTAAATGTAGGGGGTTGACAGCTATAGCACAGGAGTGGA